TCCCGGTGGTTCCGAACTACATAACAGGTGTATATGTATTCCTGTGTGTAAGTGAGGCTACACACGTGTCATGGTGTACATGTGAAGTCAGAGGACATCCTAGGGTGTTGGTCCTTGCCTTCCACTTTGTTTGAGACAGGGTTTCTTCTCTGTTGTTCAGCACTGCAAGAAACTCGAACTCCAGAGGGTCTGATTGCTGACCAGCAACCTGTAACCTGTGTCCATTAGCCTTGATAGGAATATGCAGATCTTTTATTTGTATCTTCAAACCTGAGGTTCAGGCAGGTAAATGACTTGTTGAAAGTAACACCAATCAACAAGAGAACCAAACATGCAAATAAAAATCTGCTGGACCATGTAATTCTGCCTTTGCCTTTCATGTCTCCTGTGTGGGCCCTCTCCCTGGTCATGATCAAGTGGTTGTGTAACTGGCCTATCTGGCAAGAATAACTTTAGAATAAGAGACATTTTTGCTCTCCCCTTTGGCTATCAACCTACTGAAGGAATGGACCTCAAGAAATTAGAATTTGCCCAGCAATTTCCTGCTGGGAAAGGAAATGGCTGAAGCCTTGGGAGCTTCCAGAGAAGGAGCATATCTAATGGAGAAAGATCTAAACTTGTCAGATGACCTTGCAGGAGAGACAAGGCACTGAGACAGTGGTGGTCAGAGGACCACACTTTACCAGACCATTTAGTTATGCATATCTCTTGCTTTCTATTTAACCACTCTCATGTCAGGACCCTGAAGACAGACTTAGGGGAGTCCCTGGATCTCTTTGTCTCTCTTCCCAATGTGACCACATTGAATAAATCTCCATTTTCTGTTTTTCATTATTATTTTGGCTCCTTTAATTGGCCTATTATGGGGGGGTGGCTGAACATGACATGCTGGGACACAAGCTACGAGTCCTCAGACCAGTAACAGTTGTGGAAATGGAAGTTGGGTAGCTATGGCACAGATCAGTGTCAGGGTAAGGTGTTTCAGAGACCCTCCAAATCAGAGAATAGGGGCTGGAGAGATGGCTCAGAGGTTAAGAGCATTGGCTGCTCTTGCAGAGGACCCGGTTTCGATTTCCAACACTTCTACAGCAGCTAACAACTGTCTGTAATTCCAGTTCCAGGGGAATCTGACACCCTCTTCTGACCTCCATGGGCATTGCATGACCTGTGTGCACTTACATACATGCAGGCATGCACTCATACACATAAAATTAAAAAAATTAAATAAAAAAAGAAAACAGACACTATGAAAGATCACGATGGATAAACATGGCTGTTCCATTTTGTGGTATGCTTCTGTTTTAGAATATCCACCTACTACTGCTGACAGAAACATTTTTTTAAAATATAATTATTTTTTTGTTACTCTGCAGTGATGAAGCCAAACCTTCTCCCTTACTAAACAGGATGTCTGACACTTATTTCACAAATCCAAGCTCCAATCACTTTTCAAGTTCATAGATATGATTTTCATAGCTAAGCCTGCATGTCAAGACCCAAAGGAAATGCCATCCATCTGCCTCAGGCTAGGACAGGCTTCACAGAGCAGCTGCCATGTTGCTTTTACAATTCATGACTTTTTATGCTTATTGGTCCTTTCTAGACAGTGTCTCTTTAAAGACATAAAGTGTCTTGTCTCTGATCCTTAGGATACAACAGGCCCTTAAGAAATATTTGCTAAAAATAAATCCATTTAGTTTAGCAGGAGCTTCTGTTTTGATACATAATTCTTTACAAAAATGAACAATGAAGAACAGGAAAAATTGGTGACAAAGAATACTGTCCTAGTGCTCATAGTATTTCCATGCAACTAATTTAGATGCATAAATTTATTTAGATATAACATTGTTTACTTGCTGGCTGTATTTTCTTTATCTAATTATGAAATCCCTTTGCATTTTACTTGGTCTTCATCATAAAATGTGTCTTTTTTACCATATAGTTTTTAAACAATAAACAGCATAAATGTATTTTGCTTTACAAATAGAAAATGTATTACCTCTCATTGACACATCTTAGTCCCCAAGGACTGCCTAATTGCAAGCAGATGTCATTCTTTTATCTCTCTCTCTCT